CGCGCGAATGTCCACTTTACCTTATTTTTTGCAAGGGATTCTTGAAATTTGATTATATTAGAACAAGAAATGTCATTTTATAGTGTTTTTTGCAAGGGAAAACGGATTACAACAAAACAACCGGATCTGGACCCCATCCACTTTTCTGAAGCTTTCGCGAAAAAATGATGAAAATGTAGCTGCGGCCTAGGCGCGGCGGGGGGGCCGTGCACCAGGGGTCCCAACAATAATTATTCTTTAGAATTAATAATGTTCAACAACAACAACAACAACAACAACAACAACAACAACAACAACAACAACAACAATCGTTTTAAGACTGTTCGCTCTGACTGGCACGCGTGTCTTGTTTTCTGTATACCCCAACCCTCGATACCGCCCACTTCGTCTTCGATTGCACCCCCTTTCGGGGGGAATCTTTTCCTTGTCGGCCACTGACTGAAATGCGAGGAACTCTCGAGCGAGAGCGCCGTTCCTGAGTTTAGAAGCCTCTCTGGCAAGGGGCTCTCGGAACACATATGGAACAGTATCGAACGGGAACCCTTGTCGCCGTGTCTGGGCCCCACCAACTTGCCTGAATTACGAAGAAATCTCGAGCGAGAGCGCCATTCTTGAGTTCGGGGGCCTCTCTGGTAAGGGTCTTTGCGGATACATCTTGAGGAGGTATCGAGCGAGAGCCCTTGTCGTCGTAGTTGGGCCTCCGCCAATTTGACTGAATCACGATAGTGTCTCGAGCCAGAGCGCCGTTCCTGAGTTCGGGGGCCTCTCTGGCCAGGGGCTCTCGGAGTAAATCGTGAGGAAGTATCGAGTAGGAGCCCTTGTCGTCGTTGCTGGGCCTCCGCCAACTTGACTGAATTGCGAGAAAGTTTCGAGCGAGAGCGCCGTTCCTGAATTTGGGGGCCTCTCTGGCCAGAGGTCTCGGGGTAAATTGTGGGGAAGTAACGAGCTGGAGCCGTTATCGTTGTAGCCGGGCCTCCAAGGGCTCACATTTACACTCAAGCCAACGCTCGCGCGGCAGCCTCGCTTTCAGAGAAAATGTTGCCGGCGTCAAAGCGATAGCGCGCGGAACCGTTTCCGGACATCAGCAATTAGTTCTCTAGAAATGAATATTCAACAATCCGCACCGCAGACCTCACTTCAGCCACGTGGCCAAGGACTGTGAATGACCACTCGGCACCCTCAATCTGCGATGTGTGCAAATCTGCACCAAATCTATTGCAACCAAATCTATTGCAACCCCACAAATCTATTGCACCGCCCCCTTGTCGCTGGACTCCCTTTCGGGCCTCCTCCTCCTCCTCCTCCTCCTCCTCCTCCTCCTCCTCCTCCTTAGGGCCTCTTTTGAATCGTCTTCGGGCGTCTACTGTGTGTCTGGGGCCTCGGGAGGCCGCTCGGCCGACCTCCCGACCGATGTGGGCCCGCTGCATGGGCTCACGAAGGGCTTGGAGGAGCTCCCGAAAACCTGGGGGGCCTCCTGCAACAAGGGCTCCCAGCTCCGCGCTTCGCGCTGCGCGCTGCGCGAAGTGCAAATGACTTCGCGCTCTCGCGCCGCCTCCCAGGGGAGAAGAGGAGGAAGAGGAAGAATCGGAGCCGAACCGCGAAGCGGGAAGCGCGAATAACTTCGCGCCCTCGAGGTCGCCCTTGCTGCAAGGGCGTGCACAGGGCCCCGGGGCCACGAATCTGGGGTCCGGTTTTGAGGGGTTGGGGGGGGGGGTCCCCACCCCCTGGCGCGTAACACTGTATGAAGAGGCATCTGCTCGCCCGCCCCCCAGCACGCCCAAACGACGGACTGAGGGAGCATCCTCATCTTCTTCGTCCTCCTCCTCTCCTCTCCTCATCCTCATCTCCTCATCTCTCCTCCTGCTCTTGCTCCTCATCCTCTGCTCCTCTTGCGGGGCAGTACAGCCTCGGGCTGAGGGCGTTCGTAAGGGTATTCGGGCTAGGGTATTATGATCAGGGTCAGCGTTTTCGGGTTTAGGGTGGCCTTGTTAGGGACAGTGCCCAGGGCCATGGTGGTAGGGTTAGGGCTAGTTGCGCTTGAGTAAGGGTGTGAGGATGAGGGTTGCCAGTTCTGGTTTCAGGGTTAGGTTTGGGTGAAAGGACAAGGGTTAATGCTCAGGATTAAGCTGTTATGGCTAGGGTGCTAGGGCCAGCTGATAAAGTAGAGCTGGGGAAAGCAAGGTTTGAGCGAAAGGGTTATTGCAACGGTTACGTATTAGGGATAGGACGTCGGGGTTCGGGTTGGGGTGTCAGGGCAGGTTCGCTGAGGGATCCAATGTTCGAGTTCGAATTTGTAATAGGGTCAGCGTGTTACCGCTAGGCTGTTAGCGACATGCCCACCACAATACCCAATCCATGCCCCCCCAACTTTCGTACCACCCAAACCTTGAGCAATAACCTTAATCGTGCCACACCACTCCTGACATCCTAACCTTGACACTAGCATCATAATGAAAACCCTACCCCACCACCCCACCCCTAACATCGTGACCCTAACGCC